TTCCCCCCTCCTCTCCCCCCCGCCCCCCCCCCCCCCGGGGATGCCAAGGCCCCCGCACCCACAGTGCTGGGAGACAAGTGGGCCGGCAAGACCCTGAGCTCTGAGCTTCTCCTTCCCCTTCCTCCTCTTGCTTCCCCCTTCCAGCTTCCTCCTCTGAGGTTTACCCCTACCCTGTTCCACCCTCTCGCCTTCTTTCCCCGGTCTCACCTGAGTTTCATTCCCCACCCCACTCCAGTTTTGTTCAATAAAGAGAGTTTGTTTTCTTGAACATGTGTCTTTATTGTACATCAGGAAGGGGGGGTTAGGGAGGGGTAAGTGGAAGGATGTGAGCATGGAATGAGGCACAAGCCCCCAGTGGGGCACACCAGGCAGACTGTTAGTCCTTCTCCGGGTGGAAGCTCTCCCACAGGGCCTCCCAGATATGGACAGCCCCCCAATAGGCCTCCCAGCTGGACAGTTTCCCCCTTCCGCTCACACAAATTGTGCAGCACACAGCACGCTGCCACCACATGCGGAATATTCCACTCGGAGAGGTCCAGGCGGGTGAGGAGGCATCTAAAATGGGCCTTCAGATGGCCGAAGGCACCCTTGACCACAATGCAGGCTCTGATGAGCCTGGCATTAAATGCCTATTGGAAGGGGTTGAGGTGTCCCATGTATGGCTTAAAGGCATGTCCACGTCCCTGACCCTGATGTGGCAATTGGGGAAGAAAGTCCCAGTGTGCAGCCTCTGACACACGGAGGAGTTACGGTAAACCCGCGTGTCGTGTTCTGCCGGACCAGCCCACACTGATGTCTATGAAGTGGTCCCAATGATCAGACACAGCCTGCAGCATGACCGAGAAGTATCCCTTCTGGCTGATGTAGAGGGAGGCCTGGTGTTCCGGGGCATGGATGGGGATGTGGATCCCGTCAATTGCCCCCATGTAGTTGGAGAAGCCCAGGGCGCCAAACCCCTCGATGACCACATCCACATTGTCAAGGCGGATGACTCTGTGGAGCAGCACTCTGCTGATGGCCTTGACCACCTGCACAGGGACAAACAAAAGCGAGAGTCACTGGGGTGTCAGGGTGGCTGAGAGTGCTCCCTCTCTGCTACTGCCCCGTGCCCCCACTCTCCAGGAGCAACCCCCCCTGCAATCTTGTCCACCACAGGCAGTCCTTAGTGTGGGCAGGACAGAACACCCCGCCCCCCCCAGGAGGGGACTTTCATCCTCTCCCCTCCTTTTCCCTAGGGCATCCCATCTCCTCCTTGCACCCCCCCCTCCTGGCACAGTGGCCAGAGATTGCAATACCTGCATGAGCACCACTCTGATGGTAGCCTCTCCAGGAGCAACCCCCCCTGCAATCTTGTCCACCACAGGCAGTCCTTAGTGTGGGCAGGACAGAACACCCCGCCCCCCCCAGGAGGGGACTTTCATCCTCTCCCCTCCTTTTCCCTAGGGCATCCCATCTCCTCCTTGCACCCCCCTCTCCTGGCACAGTGGCCAGAGATTGCAATACCTGCATGAGCACCACTCTGATGGTAGCTCTCCCCATGCTGAACTGGTTCGCCATGGATCGGTAGCTATCCGGTGAGGAAAGCTTCCATAGGGCTATGGCCACATGCTTCTGGAGGAAAATGGCAGGCCTCATGTGCGTGTCCTGTTGCTGCAGAGCAGGGGCGAGCCACTCACAGAGCTCCAGGAAGGTGTCCTTCTTCATCCTGAAGTTCTGGGTCCACTGTTATGGTGGGGCACGCTGGCTTCCAAGAGCTGCAGCTGCTCCTCCACATACCCCAGGAGGGTCCGGATGATGGCCTGGGGGTTGGACTGCAGCAGATGCTGTGAGGCAGCCTGCAGAAAGTGCAGCCAGGCTTGCAGCAACATGTCCACAAGAAGCACGAGCGTGCCATGGGGCAGTTCCAGCTCCATGCTGCAGAGTGCTGTGGTGTCCCAAGTGAGGGCAACGAGAGCACACAGAGAAAAAAATGCTTTTCTGCCCCTCAGTGAGGTAGGCAAACAAGCAAGCAGGGAAACCTGAGAACCGGCTGTCCACGGGGGTCCCTTTAAGCACAAGCCTCAGATAGCCTCAGGCAGCATCCACACAAGGTAACTCCTGACCTGATGCCCTGCTGGAGCCAGTTCTGGCCGGCCTTAAATGCAATTCAGCGTCCAATCAGTGTGGACGCACTATTTCAAAATAGCAAAACACTATTTCGAATTACATTTTGTGTGGAGATGCGTTATTTCAAAATAAGATATTTCAAAATTAGATATTTTGAAATAACGCTGTAGTGTAGACATACCCCTATCAGACTTCTAAAGCATATAGAAATTATTTTCCAAATAAAGCCATGTCGTTATATCTTAATCTAATTAGTAGTAATGTCACAATTGCTTTTATAAAAAAAATTACACTACCATTAGTAAAAAACTTAATTAGACATGCATATGTACTATACAGCTACATTTTTCAATCCACTGAGTTTCTTTTTCTCCCTAAACCTAGAAAAATACTTAGGTATAAAGGCAGGATAGTATCCAACCAGCACATGGAACTAACCATGAAAGCAACATCTATTGCAGTAGGGATTATGAAATAACTAATTGCATTATGGTGAAATTTTAAGTTAAAAATTGAGTTCTGCTATATGTGGTATTCATTTGGCAAACTTTGGTGAATTCAGACATTGACCAAAATTTCCATTCCAATGTCTGGTTGAAAAGATAAATTCTATGCAAAATTGCAACTGGAGAAATCATGAACATACCATCTGTTATCACCAGCACATTAGAGGAGAATAAAAACTCTACAGGCCTGATTTTTGGAAATAATGAGAACCTGAAACTTAGAGTTTCACATTCTCAGCCCTTCTAAAATGCTTAAGAAAATATTTCATTTTGAATGGGTTAAATAGAATTTCTTTATGTCAAGCACAATTCTCAGAGGCTTGTTATTGAAATCAGTCTTAAAATGTCAGCTCCAAGCCTATCAAGCATCAACTGTTTGCTTCTGTTTACAGATAAAAGAAGACTAAAACATTGTGATTAGTGGGTAATCATTTATACTAAATACAAGAAATCAGTAAAATCTTCATATTTTCTTTAATATTTGCTCTAATATTCAGGTTGTGTATTGAACCCCCCGCTGTTGACATAACTTACTTTAAAAAAGGAAAGAAAGACTTTATAGGTAGATATTTCAATGGTATTGTCACTATTAATTAATTTTTATGTCACGTTAAATTACTTTTTTTTTACATGGGTTAGGAGATTACTGAATATTACACTGTGCTGATTACAATTATCTCTAAAAAATGACATTAAGCCAGCAAAAACATTTGGATATTTTGACACATTCTTGGTCATGTATCTGCAGAATATATTTTGGGTTTTATCATTTTTTATCTTTTTTTATACCTTAACTATTTCCCCACAACATTCTTGTGAAGAAGGTAAGCAATATTACCCTCCTTTTACCTATGTGGAAACTGAAACACAAGTTTTTCCGCAGTTGCTTTTGCGGAAAAACTTGCCAGCTGTCTACACTGGCCACTTGAATTTGCGTAAGAACACTGACGATCTAATGTAAGATTGTCAGTGTTCTTGTGCAAATATTATGATGCTCCCACTCAGGGATAAGCCCTCTTGCGCAAATGCTTTTGCGCAAGAGGGCCAGTGTAGACAGGTAAAAACTGTTTTGCGCAAAAAAGCCCCGATGGCAAAAAAATGGCGATCGGGGCTTTCTTGCGCAAAACCGCATCTAGATTGGCACGGACGCTTTTCTGCAAAAAGTGCTTTTGCGCAAAAGCATCCGTGCCAATCTAGACGCTCTTTTCCGCAAATGCTTTTAACAGAAAAACTTTTCTGTTAAAAGCATTTGCAGAAAATCATGCCAGTCTAGACACAGCCTTACTCAAGGCCACAGATGGAAACATGATTAGAATATTGGGGATGGAAACCTACCCCTACTGAAGTCAATAGCAAAAGGCTCTTCAATATAGACAAGATTTCAACCTGGAATTCCTTATCCGCAATTTTGAGTTCAGAACATTGCCTTTCACATCTCATGTGTCAGTATGCCAGTTCTATATAGGCATAAGCTAATATATGTGGTGGCCCTAGAAGCACTATGGTACACAGAATCTAATAAATATCAGTCCCGTGCAACTAGGGAAGTATCATCAGAAGACTTCAATTAGTAGAAAAGAAAAGAAAAGAAAAGAAAAGAAAAGAAAAGAAAAGAAAAGAAAAGAAAAGAAAAGAAAAGGGTGTAATTTATTGATACAATGAAAGGCTGTTCACTGTCACTTGCAGCAGTGCCTATTTTCAGAAAAGAGAACATAAGGCAGAGGTTTTCCAACTATGGGTTTGGACTGAGTACTGGGTTGTGGAATGTGAGGCACTGGGTCTCATTGCTGCAGGGGGATCAGGTGACCAGTTGGGGTTCTAAGGAAGGCTGCCTACCTGTCCTGGCACAGCAGACTGCGCTGCGCCCCAGAAGCATCCTAGGTTGGAGGGGGAGTGAAGAGAGCATGGAGCTCTGTGTACTACAGAGCTCCATGCACTACCCCTGCCCTGAACATCAGCTCCATGCTCCCATTGACTGGGAAATTGCTACTGGCTGCTTCTGGGTGTAGCATGGTTTGGAGAGCCAGGATAGGCAGGAAGCCTGCCTTAGCATCCCTGCTGCACTGCTGACCAGGAACCGCTGGCGGAAAGCCCCTTCTGCTCCAGCCCTGCCGCCCTCCCACCCCCCAAAAAAGCTGGAGTCCCCTCCTATGTGCCAAAGCTCTCTTTAACTCCACCGTAGGGCCCACACTCTATTCAAATTATGTTGGGTCCATGGGCATCAACAGTTTTCTTCAACTGGATCGGTCATGAGAAAATTTTTTTTGAAAACCACTTGTGGAAGGCATGCTAGCTAATAGCAGGATAGTACATGAATTTTTATAATACATATCAATCCAAGTGTACCTGAACTCATAAATCTGTGCATTAAACTAGAATGTAAGGAAACTATAATTTGACCTAAAAATGCTCTTACTGGAGTTACCACTTATGTAGAACTTAAAAAGATAGGTGAAAAGTAGATGAACTTACACTGGGATTGTAGGAACATTTTAAAAGTACATAATTTGCGGCATCGTCTCATTAGGAATTTTAAAAACACTTTGTGTACAGATCTGGGATCCTTTTTTCTCAAACCAGAACAATCTTTTCAAATATAAAATGATACTAGCAAGTGGGTATTTAAAGTAAAAAGGAAAAAATACTGTCTGACTTATAATTAGAACAAGTTTCATGCCAGCAAAACTTGCTTCTTAAAAACCTCTGAAAATGAAAACGCAATAATGAGCTATCTTTAAATAACTACAGCTTGAAGAAGCCGGAAACATATCATGATGTCCAGTGGGATAGGAGGCTGAATTTCATTTCCATCCAGACGGAGATAGCGAAGACGTGGCATATTACCAGAGGAACTGTGATCTTCTATAGCAATAGAGGTCGGACATATTAGAGTGCCATTGACACCTATCAATATAAATCAACAACATAATTTAATTTGTGGGGAAAAGATTAACTTTTTAAAGTTCATTTTAACAATATTTATACAGTGTTTACCTGTTCTTTTCAAAATTGTAAAATATTGAATTAGTCATAATTTTAGTTAAAAAAGAATGTGTGCTAAAATAGAATAATCAAATTCATTCTGTTAATGATTTGTCATTAATACTATATGTTTATCCTCTAGAGAGGTGCCAGAATGTATCAGTAAATTCTGAACAGCTGGAAGAGGGCACTGAAGTGCCATTTTAAAAAATACTCAGTGTTGACCTAACTCTGCTTGTATTGGACTTCACTGGGGGCAGAATTAGGCCAATGCTGAACACCGCTAACAATTGCACTTTGAGGGCATGTCTAGACTGCATTCCTATGTTGGCAGAGGGATGCAGATTAGGCAGGTCGACATTGCAAATGAAGCGGGGATTTAAATATCCTGAGCTTAATTTTCATAAAAGTGGCTGCCGTTTTTGCCAACTCAGCATGTTGTGAGGGGCATTTGTCGAGGGCGAAAGAAAGCCTTTTTCTACAGATCCCTTATGCCTCCTGCAAGGGATCTTTTTGAAAGATTTTCCCTCACATGAACAACCTCTGTTCCTGCCCTGACTTACACCCTTCCCCATCACTCCAGCACAGACTTCTCAATGCAACCCCAAGTCCTTTCAGAAAGTCTGTTAATGCTGAGTTTGTTTTACATTTATGCACACGCACACACACACATACAGAGAACTCTCTGTATTGATTCAATAAGGCCAAGATTTCACCCCATGTCATCCTGTCTTTATACAGTCCTTAGCAAAATGGGGCTCAAAGCATGTCTAGGATGTTTGGGTATAACAGTAAAGTAAATAGATAACAAGTAAGCACATTCCTAAAACATTATTTTGGTGTCTGAGCATCTACAAATTACCTAACACATTACAGTACTGGCAAGCATGTGAGGATATTCAATTGCCATCTCTGGAGTAAAGAAGAGGAATGCTTCTGTACATGAAAAGGTTAACTTACTTTGCAACCATTTCATGGATTACCTAGATCCAAGTTTAGATTATTTTTCTTTCAGCCCCTCTTTAAACTAATCACTTCTGTAAGTGGAAAAACTGATTTGCAACCTGATGTTGATTCCTGTCACTTCTGCCAGACAAAATTACATTCTTCTCTCTTTTGACCTTTGATCCTAAAATTCTTCAGAGATGTTAGATGGCAGAAGAAGTTTCTAGTGGAGTAGTAGAATATGTTCTTATCACTTATATCTTGAGCAGCAGCAATAAAATGTTCACCCATTTGTCTTATATATATTTTTTTCTAGTACTGATTTTGTTTTATAATTAATGTTACTGTTTATCATTTTAATGGTAAAATAACATTGGTTTGGACAGGGCTTTTTTTGTGATGGCACTGCCTGGTATGCAGTACCTGCATCTCCAGATGCAGTACCAGCACCTCCAGTCAGAGCTCAACAACTTTTCCCCTGGAATACTGGCACCGTTTTTTTTTTTTTTTTTTCAAGAAAAGCACTGGTTTGGGATATATTTAACTGATTGTCTTCCAAATGTCATATTATCGAAGGTTAAGTGCAAGCATTTCATAGTTTATAAGTAAATTAGAAGCCTGTCACACTATATATCATTGGGATGTATGTTCCTAAAGCTGAGATTGTCAAAGGTATATAGGTGCTTAACTCCTCGTGCAATGAGGAGTAACAGTTAATTTGAGGGAAGGGTTTTGGATTGGACTACTGCGTCTACACGTGTCAAGTTAAATCGGGCGACCAGCATTTTAAAATGGTGACCGGCCGCAAATATGCTAATCAAGCATTAGCAACTTTGATATGCTTCATTTGCCTCCCTAGTCCGAACTAGGGGGCAAGTGTAGACAAAACCTTTGAAACTAATGGACAGTGAAATTTGCTCAATAATGACACATGGTATGAACACTAGTTAAATTTCACTTTTCTTGTAATTCATTTAAATGACAAAATTAACACACCTATTTAAAAGTTGATACATTTGACTTTGTAAGCACAGATAGTGGAATAGTATTTAATTAATTAGATTGTTAATAATCAGATTAATGTTAACTGCAATGATTGCTAAATCCTCTTTCCAAGAAATCAAGATGTTAGTTTTAGTATACATGTGAGCTATTTTCATATTGTAATATAACATCTTATAGTAATAAGGACTAATTTATTAATTAGTTTGCCATGTTAGAGAATTTCAGAGGATAGCATGTAAGACCAAAGTATGAATGAGTCAACATGTAGAGGCCTTTATTTTTTTAGTTTCTTTTGTGCAGCGGTATTAGTAATTGATCACTTTTGGTTTTGATAGCAGAAATAGTTTGCAGATGGGAAAAAGTTAAGTGCATGATGTTAAGTGAGGTAATTTTAGTTTTTCGTGGCTTTTTGGTTGGGAAATCTTGATGACATAACTGTTTCTCTGATCCTAAGTATGCCTGAATTATGTTGGGAGTAAGTGGTTGCTAGCAACATGATGATAAATTTAAATTATATTTGGAACAAAATATGCTGTTAATTATTTATACAATATCAAACCATAAAACAGATCAAAGGAATCAAAATCCTAAAATCTTGACTCGGGCAAAATTTTTGTGAAATCAGTGGTAGTTGTTCATGAGAAAGAACTGAGGCTATGTCTACACTACAGGCTTCTTGCGCAAGAAGCTTTTTGCAGAAGAGATCTTCCGCAAAAACTTCTTGCACAAGAGCACGTCCACACTGCAAAAGCGCATCAAAAAGCGATGTGCTTTTTGTGCAAGAGAGTGTCCAGACTGCATGGATGCTCTCTTGAAAGGAAACTCTGATTGCTAATTACACAATGGCCAACAGGCACCTAGGCTTTTTTTGATTGCCTCTTTTTGTGCAAAAAAACTGTTCCCTCTCCACATACACCAAAAGGAGTTATTCCTCGTATTCCTACACTGGAAAAAACCCTCTGTTCTTTTGTTTTACTTGCTCAAAAACGTGCTTGAGGTGTGGATGCTCCGCGAATTTTTGAGCAAAAACTCTTTAGTGTAGACCTAGCCTGAGTCATGATCTCAGGATTTCTCTCTCAGGGTACATCTAGACTACAGGCTTCTGTCGACAAAGAGCGTCTAGACTACATTGAGTTCTGTCGACAAAGCAAGCTGCTTTGTCGACATGGTAGTGTGGACGCAAAGGACAGTTTACATGCAATAACACCTTCTGTCGACAGAAACTCTGTCGACAGAAGGCGTTATGCCTTGTAAAATGAGGTTTACCAGCGTCGACAAAACTGCTGAGTTCTGTCGACGTTATGTCAACAGAACTCAGCGGTAGTGTGGACGCAGGTATAATTTTGTCGACAAAAATCCACTTTTGTCGACAAAACCCTGTAGTCTAGACACACCCTCAGAACCCCAAAGATGGAGAAGACATAATCAGATTTTCAAAACTCAGCTCCTAATATGTTGTAATTCATATAGACAACAGTGATCAAGGCCACAACAACTAAAGAATTGGTGCCTGAAGCTAAGCTCCTAATTGCATATTGTGAATAAGTGGACAGATTTTCAGAAATGCTGAGTACTAGTAGCTTTCATTAATTCTAGTGAGAGCTTGTATAAGTGCCTAAATATGGATTTAACAGCCCGACTTAAGGCACCTATTTTATTTATTTACTTATTTTTAAGATCTTAATTTTTGAATGTAAACTTCTGCATTTGATTGCACAAAATGGCTTATTAACTGCCTAACTAGGACAGTGAGTATGCAGGTGCACTTTAATACATTCATTTATATGATTTGCATGCCAAATACAGATTTTATATATGTAATATCCCATGTGTGCACATGCACATGTTTTGTTGGAACATCTAAGAGTTTAAGTCTTAGATGTAGGCCCAGTGGATCATCTTACTCGTTATTCTTGGCAGGTTGTTCTTTATAGAATATTCTTGAATCTTTTAACTTTTAAGAAGTCTTTTTTCTTGCTTTCTTTGCATGTTGATTATAATACTGTCAAGACTGATGATATAAAATATGTTTTAAACCTCTCAGGAAATGAAAGCAATTAACCAATTCAAAGAATCCTGAATTTAAGCAAAGATGCATTCTTGTACATAACCAGACAGTGAAGTGCTCTTTGTGTGTGTGTGTGTGTGTGTGTGTGGTGGGTGTGTGTGTGTGTGAAGAGCTATTTAATAGGATTGTAAGTTTTGGTGTGATCCCACACTGACAATATACACTTACTTTTGATTCTGTTGTGATCAAGATGCAGATGCTCAAGGTGAGCATTGAAAGGTGGAATTTTAGTGAGTTGGTTGTGGGACAGCTGTAGGTCTAGAATAGATGAAACATTAAACACGTTTGGGGGGATGCCATCATCAGATAGTTTATTGTAGTTCAGTCTAAGGAAAGTCACTTTGGGGATTGCACTGAAGTAGTTCTCTGGGATCACTTCAATAGAGTTGTTGTCCAGAAACAGCTGTACTGTATTAGTTGGAATACTTAGTGGCATTTTCTTGAGGGCGTTTTTTGCTATGTTGAGTTGCATGAGATTGTTGAGCCCCTGGAAGGTGTCACTCTGGAGAGCACTATCCAACAGCTTGTTATGCTGCAGATCTAGCATTGTGAGGTTTTTCAAGTTGCTAAAGACACCATCAGGGATTCTGGAGATTTTGTTTCTAGCCAGTCTCAATTGCTCTAAGCTTGTAGGCAATGGAGCAGGCACCTCTTCCAGCTCATTATCTTCGAGGAACAAGTAAAGTAGACGCTTCAGTTTGCTGAGCACACCTTTTTCAATTCCATTGCTGGTGATTTTATTCTTGTTTAAATTTATCCATTTCAGATGAGTGGCATTCACAAAGGGTTTCTCAGAAATTGTTTCTATCAGGTTGTTTTGCAGATAGAGGTACCAGATTCTTGCTGGGATTGCAGGTATTTCTTTAAGCCCCTTGTTATCACAGTATAAGGCATTGGGGAAGCTAGGAGGACAGAAGCATTCTTTTGGACACTCAAAGGTGAAGAGGGACCAATCCTCTGGATCCATCGCATCGTAGACTTGTCTCACATTCCGAGTCCACACAGTATTGGTCAGGAATAAAACCAAAAGGCTGGGATAGACTTTTGCAGTCATTGTTTGCCTTACAAAGGAAGAAAAGCATTTAGCTATCTCTGTGAAGTGTAACCTAGACCAAAGTCTTAGATTTCATATAACTATAAGAATTGTACTCTAGAACAGCACACTAGATATTTTAAGTTTATTACTGAACAATATTACTGGTTTTATAAAGGGTAAAATTCTGCCCTTCATGACATCACTGTGTATGCTAGGGAACATGAGGCAGTAATATTAAAGATACCAAACATTGCAGATTTTCACCTAGGTGCAATATATTCCTAATTTAAGTTAGATTTCACATTGGATGATCATTCCAAGAATCTAGAAATACTACTTTGTATATTAAATGAATGATTCTGCTAAAATTGAAAATAGTTATTTGTAGCATTACCTAATATTTCCTGTGTGGAACCTCTTTTTATGTAAAGTAGAGGTTACACAAAGCATCACAGTAAAGACAGATATAAATGCCATTATATTGTTAATTCAGATCTACTATGATCCTCTTCAAAAATAGTCATATGTTCTTACTGCTTTCACTCCTAAATTATATAAAAAAAAAAACCATCTGGATCAGATTTTCTCATCACACAAAAAAGAAAGATCAAAGAGTATTTTAACAGCTGCTTGCCATGTTCCAAAAAAGCCTGAAGAAATCTGTTTGAATAATAGCAGTCCCTTTCCTTCTCTCTTTCCCAAGTTACAGTTTTTCTTCTTTAATTCCCCTTTCCTACTTCACCTACTGATACATAATATAAAGTGTAAGTTCAGTGAGAGGATTTACCCTCAAGTTTCATACAAATTTTCTTATTTTGTATCCAATTCCATTTTGAGTTTGATACTTTCCCCTATTCGACAATGAAAGAGACATCACTAATAATTTGTTCCTGCAGATAATGTTTGGTTAGCATAGTAACAGTGCTTCATAAGCTTTGCTGTCTTTTTGGCTTTTTGACAATGATTAGAAAGCATGTTTAGAATATAAGGACAAAAGATCAGTAGCACAAAACTGGGGTGAAATACAAAACGTTACTTTGGCAAAAATAAAATTCAGATTGAAAGAATATTTGTGATATCACTGGTGCAAGAGTAAACCTAATGGTTCTATTATTTGTGTGTAAAATGTGATCATTTATTTCTATTTTTTTATTATTATTATTATTATGTATTATACATAGCAAGTGCAATATTCCCACAGATCTGCTAGCCTCAGAAACTGCTGGATATTGGAAGTATTCCAAAGAGGACAAACAAAAGATTTCTAGGGAATGTCATAATTGATTTACACGCTGAAATGCCATACCCTATTACGTAAATATCTATACCCTTAAAATATTTTTTAAAGTAATGAAAATAATTTACCTTGTTAGTCAAGTTACTGGAGATATCAGAAGCCTGTTAAAAATCACTTACAATGCAAAGCTTTAACTGCTACATTTTGTTGGATCCTGTCCTCCGCACAATTATTAGCATATAAAAACTAAAGTACACACCAGCATCCCCTGTTACATTATCATATACACCTTATCTATTCTTTCTAACTTGACAGTGATTCAGAATCTAGCTTACCTCAGCTTTGTTGGCTCTTCTCTTTCTATTGGTCACTGTTGTTAGACTGTAATAGTTTGACTCAGGCTACACGCTGTGTTTTATGAATACAGCCTAATATATACGCATCAGTGCCTACAACTTTTAACCCCTAAAATAACTAAGGCACCTCAGCACCTAGTTGGAAAAAAGAAAGGAAACTCTGACTCTAACATCAAGCAGCAACAGTACTAAGGACACTTTCACTTAGTCTGTGCTCAGATTTTTTTAAATGAACAGGTTTGATCCAGAAAAAAACAAGTAAAATAAAATCCATCTTTGTTCATAGTATTATGTGATGTGCTACTCTATATATAAAGTTTGCTTACATCATGCTTCATTTGCATAACACCTAAATTAGGGCAAAAAGAATTAAAACCAGTGCCATCTGGTCCTACTAAGTCTTTTATTTGATTCTGATGAAAACCAGGTGCAAGAATGCCTTTTAAAGATAGGAATATTTGATTAGGAGAAACAGATATCAAGACCATTTCCTAAGAACTTTTTCTTCAAATATGTTTTTAGTTCTATAAGAATTATACAATATATTTGTCCTCTTCTCTAACAAAGATATTTTACATGCTCTTTTACAGAGATGGTGTAGTCTGCTAGACTTGACTTTGTGCCTCCTCCTGTGAGCATTGTTTTTAATGATTATTGGACCAATGCATTGTTTTGTTTCTAATTTGTTTTAATCAAGTGTTTTCCATCCATTATGCTACCCAGAGCAGAGATACATGCTTCTCATATTGTCTTCTTTCTAAGTGCAAAGTAACAGTTTGATTTCAGGAAAATTAGCCTTGTTCAAAGATAGTGTAATGAAAAAAGTATTTTAAAAGGAAAAGCATATGTGAAATACTGACAATATAGAATACATTCTGCCATCTTTTATAGGGCTATGTTTTACAAGAGTCTCACAGATATAATACCAAGTTTTACTGTTATCTCATTTGGTTCAATAAAACAATGCTTTTATAACACTGAATACTTGGCTCTCATAGATAGGATGAGATAGAAAGAAACATAGGAGTAAAGCGGACACAATTTATAACAAAATTCCATTTTAATCTTTACTTTTTCACATCATCTTGGACGCACAGGAGGGTCACCTTGATTCAGCAAAATTTAAAGCATGTTCTTATCTTCAATGAGACTTAGGTGCATCCCTAAAGTTAAGCACATGCTTAAGGCCTTGATTCAGCAAACACTGAAGTCAATGCTTAAATCCTGTTTTTTTCCCCCAATGGAATTTAAACATATGCTTCATTTTAAATGCAAACTAAAGTGATTTGCTTAATCAAGGCTCAGATTTCTTCAAGACATTTTAGTTATTCATAAAATAGCTCAGATTTCCTCAGGACATTTCAAATATTCATAGAAAATAAAATGTTTTGAAGGCTACTATGAGTTGGGATGTTATTTTCCCTGCCCGTATATAGATACTTGTGCTTGATCTCATTGAGCTAATGTCAATGCAAATAGTGGTGTAGCTGCAGCAGCACAGGTAGGGAAACTGAGGCACAACTCAGTTATGCCTCTAAGTACATTCCCTCCAGTTTCTGGTGGGTATGTACTCATCATGGCTCAGCCACACCTCTGCTACTGCTGCCTGTGCTACTCCAGCTACGGTGCTTGTTAATACTCATGTTAGCTTAATGAGAGATTGCTCATGAGCATCTACATGAGCAAGGGAATCACTCTCCTAGCTCATAATGTCGACGTAGCCTAAACTAAGTCTAATACCTAAGAGTGTTCTTTCATTTACACCATGTTGTATATGCAGATCTACCTTTAAAATTCTTTTAAATATCTAGGAATGAGAATGATGAATGAGGTTGCAATAACTGAATATACCATGTTATTCCCTTCACCATGAATGTCACTTTCAATATCTATGCCTTACAATGTTTAGTCTGACCTCCATGAACAGCCATAATATTGAAATGAATTCCTCTGATATAAAAGAAAAAAGGAGTTGTTTGACATTTGCAGTGAATGGGAGAAAGTAATTGAGGAGCTGGACATATAGCTGTATATATTGCATTATTTTATTACCAGTTTTTTTTATATGTTGGGGCTATTTGCTGTGAAAGGTATGTTTGTGGTGATTGTAAAAGCTAGCCAATGTGGTAGAAATCTGTTTTGACTTTTTAGTAAGTTTTTGAATAATGTATTTAAGGATATTGTTTTATTGGGATCTGTTCACTATTGAATTGGGAACATCAACATCTCTTTTCTATGGAGACATAAATTAGAGAATCCTGGAGGCAAATATCTATTGTGATAGTCACTAAGCTGCCAGATGTGGTTGACTGTTGTATTATGCTTTCCATGGGGTCTGAAAGTAACCTTTAACTTGCTAATCATTTGCAGGCCCCTATTACATATTGTTGCAAAATTTTATAACAGCAGGGAGACTTTCAGGGCCTATAATGGTTCTCACTCGGGTTGGTTGGGAAACATGACTTAGTGATCAGGCTGCAATCTGGGACCAGTGGGGCAGTTGTTGTTAGGAAAGCCCAGGCCCTTCCACTCCATCAAGCTCCAATTCAGGGACCTTTGAGCTGCCAGTGGTCTGACAACCAAGGCAGTATAAGGCTGCTCTCTATCTCCCCATGCCCGAGCCTCAGATTGGTCCAAGACTCTTCTGTGCTGGGGGAGTCCAAATCAAGAAAATAAAAGGGGAGTACCAATGTCCACAGTGCACACATGAGAGAGAGGGGAATACTTCCCTCTCAGGGGGTATGTCTACACTACCACCCTAGTTTGAACTAGGGTGGTAATGTAGGCAACCGGAGTTGTAAATGAAGCCCGGGATTTGAATTTCCCAGGCTTCATTTGCATAAAGCTGGGCGCCGCCATTTTTAAATGTCCGCTAGTGCGGACTCCGTGTCGCGCGGCTACACGCAGCACGGACTAGGTAGTTCGGACTAGACTTCCTAGTCCGAACTACCGTTACTCCTCGTGAAATGAGGAGTAATGGTAGTTCGGACCACGGAGTCCGCACTAGCGGACATTTAAAAATGGCGGTGCCCGGCTTTATGCTAATGAAGCCCGGGAAATTCAAATCCCGGGCTTCATTTGCAACTCCGGTTGCCTCCATTACCACCCTAGTTCGAACTAGGGTGGTAGTGTAGACATACCCTGATTGTTTAGGGGTCTTCTCTCCCCCATTGGGGCAATTATGTCAGTTTCCTATGCCCTGTGCTGCTGGAGCATTGGCCAGCAGGTCTACCATCTTTCAAGTCTGCCCCCAAATGAGCTGTTTCCCTGCATTTTAATTCCAGCACCAGAGGGAGTGCTTGTGTGGCAGGAAGTGGCAGGGCTGACTAGGCCCAAAATTATCCCTTAATCCCACACTGGCCAACAAGGGGTTTCCACATCCCATCTGTATAATTAACCTCTCTGTGGAAGGGGTAGAAACATGCACCCAGAATGGAGGGTCCAACAGTAGCATGGCATGTAACATGGCTCCGTGCCCAAGGATGAAGTTGGAATGTGCTGTGAGGGGGCTGAGCTTAGTCAGAAATCTGCATATCAGTACCCATCATTTGAAATAAATCTTCAAGCATTACAGCCCTGCTCCTTGTCCTTTCCATGAGTTTGCTACTTTGGCTTCAGTGAGGGAACGATGAACAGGCTATATGGTATGACAGTGAAAACCTCAAGTTTTCAGCATATGGTTTCCAACTTGCCAGAATTTCCCCTTTTGTAGAAAAGCCTAACTTTGGTAGTTTTCCAAATCTCTACTGCATTGGATTTGATTTTAACATTTCAAATAAATGGTTACTTGTGAAAATTAGAGAAAGTTGAAAGCTCTGCAAATACAAATATACACGTTTTTCCTGTCCTCTCGCGTGTGTTGTTGCTGTTTCTTATTTATGCACTGTAAGAAATTAGCATAGAGAATTACAGACAAATGAAAGACAATGGCCAAGATTTCAAAAGTGTCAAATGATATGAGATGCTTTCAGAGTGGTCAACTTGAGACCCAGCCTAAAGGGGTCTGCTTTTCAGTGTGGGAGGTCAGCACTTGCTGACACCCGGGTCCCTTTAATATATTTGAAAATGGGCAACCAATGAACTCAAAATCATAGTCACATCTGATAACCTTGACCACTGTCTCTGCTCCTAAGTACTTGATATACAATTGTGGGAAACAGTAATACACACATGGGACTTGTAGGGAGATCGAGGGAAGAAACCAAGTATAAAGATCTTGTGAATGTTTATTTTTATTAGCAATAAATCCATCCTAAGAGCTTTATTTTTTTAAAAAATGCTGTTGACAGTATTTTAACTCTTAAAATGGTTAGAAATTGTTAATTACTTACGTTAGGTTTTGCTCCATGGCCAACCTTGAACATTTTGTTATTTAGTATATCACAATCCATGCCTAATCAAATAAATAAGATAAGAGATGTGATATCAATAGAGGACAGCAACATCACTTGAGCTGAGATGTAGGCAAGCTCAAGACTCAAAATACACATGCACTGGAGTAGCTAGAAGATGTGGAGAACTGGGAGTGCTTCAAGAATTGCTGCTCTGAGAGAAAAATGGCCTACTTTCCTTGACTCTTAGCTGATACATGCCATACGTTGCTGCATGTCTCAGGGTCTGGGAAGCATCAAAGCTCATTACCAGTAAAACCTCTATCCTCATAGATTACAACACAGTTAAGCATATGCACATATACAAAATCTTCAAGGCGTGTCATTTATTCCTCTCCCTGCTACTCACAAATGGAACTGAGGCCTTCAATTGTAGGACATTCTTCTGGGTTAGTTCAATACTGAAGATAAAAAGTTGATGTGTTCCTATCTTCTGTGGGGATAGCACTGTCCCTCTACCTGAAGTACAATACTGAAGATAAAAAGTTGATGTGTTCCTATCTCCTGTGGGGATAACATTGTCCCTCTACCTGAAGTTTTCAGTATTGCCTTCACCGTGATGACTTCATAAAAGTTCCATGCTCCCCTGATGGGGACTGAGAAAGGAACTTGTCTTGGCTGGATAGTTTTAACTAACCTGCTACTTGAATCTTGTTGTAAATCTTTTACCTCAATTTGCCTTCATGCTATAAGCAATCAGCACTTGGTTGCAGTCACTGTCAACATTGCAGCAAATCTGCCCATGGTAAATTCTTTGAGCTTGATTATTAAAATGTCAGGTATGCAACTTTATAGACATATATTTATGTTAGTATTATTTGTATTATCACAGATGTGTCTAGGATCCCTGATCATGGA